ACCTGGGTGAAGTGGGCCTCCTCAGACTCAGGGAGGAGGCTGCTAAGAGCGATGCAGGCCGCAGCGTCACGCGACTTCCACGCCGCCAGGTCAGCACGCTGGCGGGTAAAGCGGTCTCTGGCGACGTCGTCAGGGGCAGGGCCTAAAGGCGTAGGGTCGTCGGGCACAGGAAGGTCACCAGTAGCGTGCGCCTAGAGGGACTTGCCGCCTGGACCTGACTCTCTAGAAAACGACGCGCGCGTAGGAGTCAGACCGGAAACTCGAGCGGTCTACCGTCAGCGTCAAAACGAAGAACCCTAGGGGTCGCCATAGCAAAAGCAAAGAGGTGGAAAGTGCTGCTGCTGAAACCCTAATCATTGAGAGCGACTCAGCAGGGCGTTACGGGACATATGGTAGGGCGCTACGAGACACAGAGTAGGGCGCAACACTGCTGGACTAGGAGGGCGCAGCGCCACGGGCACGGGTAGCGCGACGCGACGCAGCGGGACAGGACAGGCAGCGCGACACGACGCGACGGGACGGGACGGACTGCGCGACGCGGACGGGCAGCGCGACGTGACGCGAAGGGACGGGACGGACGGGCAGCGCGACGCGGATGGACAGGACGGGACGGACGGGACGGGACGGGACGGGACGGACGGGACGGGACGAACGGGACGGGACGAACGGACGGGACGGACGGGACGGGACGGACGGACGGATGGGACGGACGGACGGGACAGACGGACGGGATGGACAGACGGGACGGGGTTGAAGGCGCGACGCGGACGGGCAGCGTGACACGGACGGATGGGACGGGACAGATGGCGTGACGCGGATGGACAGCGCAGCGGGCGCTAGGGCACGAGAGCGACGTAACGGCAGGCGCAGTGGGCGCGAGGGCACGAGAGCGAGGTAACGGCAGGCGTAGCGGGCGCGAGGGCACGAGAGCGACGTAACGGCAAGCGCGATAGGCGCTAGAGGACAGTACGAGCGTAACGGGCACTAGGGTACGGGACAGGCTCGGGCGCTACGGACGTGAACGAGAGGACGGGATCCCACAGGATCCTAACCTAGGTGATACCATGTCAAGAATGAAAGTGTTGGTTCATTGATGTGGGTTGGGGTACATATAACAAACCCTAACATCTGTACCCCCTAAGACAAACCTCACTACAAGCTACAATATTTGACAGTAATTACCCTGATTTCAGGGTGATTACAGGCTTCTCACTTGGTGGTCCTTGCAATCTCAGAATTGCCGACTTGTGAACACTGATCGATTCAGAATAGTGCTTTAGCGAACCCTGAAATATTGTATCTAGGCTCAGAGTAGTGTTCTTACTGACTATGTCAATGTAGAGTACGGGTTCTGAGGACTCTGAATTTGACCTTTCAGAAGGAAGTTTCTCGGAAAGTTTCTTTCGATAACCCCGCCTTCGGATTGGTCGTAGTACAGCCAGAGCGTGAGCAGTGCGCGGCAACATGTCTGACAGGTGAATACACTCTATGTATGTTAGTCTCACAGAAATTGAAGATGTCAGTTGTATTGTCGCTATTACGTGTGCGTGAAGTTACCAACACATTTTTTGCGTTTCGCACAATGAAATCAGCGAATAGGAAATCTTGGCACATCTATGGTATCGAACTGTTTGGTGGACCGAAATTGCTCGTTTCTTCCCCGTGTTAAAACGTGTGGATAAATACTATTTTTTCAAAAGTAAAGGGTCAGAAAGTAACCCGCACGAGGAGTGCACGAAATGATGTCGCGTTGTGTTATTATCATGCATGGTGAAACCTTTTTCCCCGTTAAACACAGTGCACGTTACTACATTGATGTTCAGTTCTCGACCCTGAGCAATCAGAGTTAACTCCTTTTCAACACTTAGCAATCAGAGTTAACTACTTTTCAACACTGAGCAATCAGAGTAGCCTACTTGTGGAAAATATGCACCCATAATACAGGGGGGAAATTTACCCCGGAATCAGGGAGGCTTAAAATGAAACGTCAGCACTGGTGCTGCTGTTGGTAATAACTGGCTCAAAAGCAGGGGCTTCAAACGGGGTGAAAGAGGTGCTTTTAGCGGGGAAGATGCGCGCACTAGTTCCGAGTTTTGGCGGTTTGACAATACCAGCAGTGAGCGTTTTTCCATTACAGTCACATGCTTTGCGGGAGGATCGCCCTTGCTTGTAGCACCACCCGGCACGTCAGACTCAGGCCTGTCAAAGTTCCTGGGGCCAACACTTTGAGTCCTGAGCTGCTCGAAGTTTGGCCCTGATTTTCGCGAAGGTGACCGTTTCTTAGCCCTTAACGATCACGGTGTAAGAATGTTATCTTATGCTCTAGCCTGTAGTGGGGTGCTCTATAGCGAGTACAACCCTTTTAGGGTTTGCTATTTGTATCCCCATTCTTGCTAGTGCAATCCTCTTCTTCCTTCTAAACTTTAACATGCTATCAGAGCAGGTCGATCCCCTTGGATCGATCATGTGGGTGGGTTACCACCTCCTCGCTTCCGCTGCAACTTTTTCTTCCCGCCATGCGCCCCGAGGCGCGCGGCGGTTTTCTGCCCGCCGTGCGCCCCGAGGCGCGCGGCGGTTCTCTGCCCGCTGTGCGCCCCGAGGCGCGCGGCGGGCTTCTGCCCCGTTGTTCGCCGCGTCGCCCTCTGGAGGCGCCGCGACGGACGACGGGGACCCGTCGCGGCCCCGCCGCCCCACTTCGCGGCCCCGCCGCCTCACGTCGCGGCCCCGCCGCCTCACTTTGCGGCCCCGCTGCCCCATTTCGCGGCCCCGCCACCCTACGTTCGCGGCCCCGCCGCCCCACTTCGCGGCCCCGCCGCCCTTCTGTCGCGGCCCCGCCGCCCCAACTTCGCGGCCCCGCCGCCCTACACCTGCGGCCCCGCCGCCCTACTTGCGCCCCGGCCCCTTTTCCCGTCGCCCGTCGCGGCTCCCTCGGGGGCTGGGGGAGGGGGGCGAGCGCCGCCATCCCACCCTGCCTACCCGCCATCCCACCCTGCCTGTGTTAGGGTTTGGGGGTGGCAAGTAGGGGGTGGCGAGTATGGGGGTGGCACTTCTTCATTCCTCCCTTTGCTCCTCCTCCTCCTTCGTCTCCCACTGCTGCATCTGTTGCTGAGGGGGGTGGATGTGTGGGAGACTGGGGTTTAGGGTTTAAGGGGGGTGCGTGGGAGTGGAGCTAGCCGTGTAGCAGCGGGTGTGTGCCAGGAGGAGTGGGATAGTCTGGGGAAGCTGCATGGAGGTTGCCGTCGTGTCGCCAGCAGCACCTGTATTCCGGGGACTTCCCCCGGTAGCCCAATCGTAGACTTCTACGCCAGCCGCCCGTGGGTCCGTTGCTCGTCTGCCGCTACTTTAGCCGCGGGGCCAGTTACTCCAGTATTCCGGGGGCTTCGCCCGGTAGCCGCTGTGCCAGCCTGCCTACTGTTGCCCGTGTGTCTGCAGCTTCAGCCGTCACCTCCTATCTCCTCTCCCCTCACTCTCTCTCCTCCTCCTCACTTGCCCGTTGTGACTACCACTAGCTTTGCTCATAATTGTGAACTTTAAACTATTGCTTCTTGAACTTGTGCTCAGAATGTGTGGTGATATTATGATCCACCCTGAGCTTGTTATGCTTTGCTTGCTCTGCTGATTACACCCCACTTTGGCTATGGGGGTGTGTCAGAATGTTATCTTATGCTCTAGCTTGTAGTGGGGTGCTCTATAGCGAGTACAACCCTTCTAGGGTTTGCTATTTGTATCCCCATTCTTGCTAGTGCAATCCTCTTCTTCCTTCTAAACTTTAACACACGGGTGCAGGTCCAAACCAAAATTTGAAATCCGGGCTTCTTTAAATAATTTACGTGTGCCCTAATTTCACAAAGGGGGATGTCAGCGAAAAGGAGCTTGCTAACGACTTATCTGTGAACCTACAGCAGGGGGGGAAGAGGGGTGGGGGAGGGGTGGTTCGTAGGGCAAATATCGTCAGCAAAGAAGTCGTTTGAACTCTTGTGTACAATGGCAAAGCACTTCCAAGGAAGTTCGTTCTCATGTAGTATTCCTAGTGTGAACCGATGGGGCTGAATCCCACCTCGCCATGTAAGGGTGTCGGTGTCTTGATTCCAGCGTGAGTCCTTAGAATTGTGAGTGAACAATGTCTTAGAAATATTTTGCAACCACAGCCATAAACATCAACCCTAGAACCTCCTTTAATACCAAGAAGATAGAATGTGGGAGCGACAGGGATAAGGGTACGGGAGGAGAAGAGTGTCAACTTAGGAAACTTGCAGGGTTACTTGTACTACTCATCCGGGATCTCAGGGAAGGGCCCCAAACCAGCCCTTAACGGATCCGGGCTGATACCCCAATTTCTCAAAATCATCCCGTAAGAAAAACGGGCTCCCCTCGAAACCAGCCCTTTGAAATGCCGAAGCTGGCCTGGAGTTCACCCGGAATGTTCAGGGCATTAAGGGCAAATGCCATTGAATCGATAGCCCTGGTCAGACTCACTCCGTCAGATCTCTATCCTCTTTGCCGCCGGCGGCACGGGCGGCCACGTGTACCCTGCCATTGCCATCGCAGACGCCGTCAGATCCCGCGATCCAACAGCCGAGATTAACTTTGTCGGAACCAGGGAGCGAATGGAATGGACGGCTGTCCCGCGCGCAGGCTACCGGATCCATCCAATCCCAGCCGTCAGTATCCATCGGCCGCTCCTCACTACCCTCTCCAACCTCCTCGTACCGTTCCGTTTCCTCCGCGCATTCTGCCTCTATCTGCTCTTGATCTGGCGATTAAAGCACGATGTGGTAGTAGGCACAGGAGGGTACGTGTCCGCGCCGACTTGTCTAGCAGCCGCGATCTGTCGCATACCTCTCGTGTTACAAGAGCAGAACACATTCGTGGGGATCGTCAACCACCTGCTTGGCCGCTTCGCGAGCGTCGTTTTCGTTGCCTTTGCCGTCGCCCAGAGGTTCTTTCCAACCAGGCGCTGCCACGTGGCAGGGAACCCCTCGCGCGCGGTGCTGCGATCTATGAGGGAAATGCGGGCAGAGAAGCGGGAAGAAGCGATTAATTACTTCTTCCCACGTGTCCAGCTGACGCTGCTGGGGCAACAGAAGGAGGAGCAGCAGGAGGAGCGGGGTAGAGAGCACAAGTGGTGCTAGTGCTAGGGGGCTCGCTGGGAGCACAACCCATCAACACAGCCATCGCAGGCGCGCTGCAGCGGCTGCTAGATGGGTTCGGCAGTGTGGAGTGCGGTGATGAGAGGCTGGACGGTGTGCAGAGTGGTGGGGAGGGGGGAGAGAGGGGCGGGCGGGGGGAGGTGGTGGTGTTATGGCAAGCAGGAGCACGTCATGTGGAGGAGATGAGAGCTCTTCCCATCGCCGCACATCCCCGCGTCTCCCTCCTGCCGTGAGGTCTCTTCTCCTGCGTCCCTCTCTCTCTTCTCCTGCGTCCCTCTCTCTCTTCTCCTGCTTCCCTCGCTCTCTTCTCCCGCGTTCCTCACTCGCTCCAACTATGCTCCATTTTAGGCGAGAGATTTCTCACATTTCTCCTCTCTCTTGCATCTGCTTCCGAATGCCCCTCACCCCCTCCGTTCCCAACTCTTCTCCCTCTGTCATTCCCCTTCGTTCCTCACCCCCCATTTTTCCATGCGCCCCCTCCTTTCCCCCACCATCCCCATGACCCCTCTTCAACACCATACCCCATGGTGGGCCGTGGCAGGTTTGTGCCATGGTGCACGATACCCCATGGTGCACGATACCCCATGGTGCACGATGCCCCATGGTGCACGATACCCCATGGTGCACGATACCCCATGGTGCACGATACCCCATGGTGCACGGAGGCAGGTTGGTGGATCGCATGGACATGTGGGTGGCGCGAGCCCTGTCTGCCTTCACTCCATCCCATCTCACCCCTCCTTCCCCTCACCATCCCCACCCATGCCGTTTCTATAACACGATACCCCATGGGGCATGGAGGCAGGTTTGTGGAGCGCATGGGTCTGGCATATGCAGCAGTCGATGTGGTCGTGGCACATGCCTCGTCTCCTTTTCCCCACACCCCTCCGTCCCCCCACCACCTCCATGGCCCATGGTAGGTTTGTGGAGCGGATGGACTTGGCATATGCACCAGCAGATGTCGTGGTGGCACGGGCCGGTGCCGTCACGTGCTCTGAGCTGCTCACCACTCCCACGCCCTGCATTCTGGTACTCACACTCGCACTCACACAACTTTTTGAGGCGCCACGGAAATTGCCGCGCCGTGCAAATTGGTGCTCACAGTCGCACTCATGCACGCGCGCGTGTGAGTGCGTGTAAATGAAGGCAAAATCTTTCCGTGCCCCTCGTCACTCTGTCACATCACACCTTATTCTATGCACAGATCCCATCACCACACGTGGCAGCGGACCATCAAACCGTGAATGCACGAGCCATGGTGCAAGCAGGGGCGGCTGTTATGCTGCCTCAGGACCAGCTCTCCCCACACACTCTCCTCTCTGCTGTCACCTCGCTGCTTGGTAAAACCCCATGATAGTCACCATGGAAGTTGCTAGAGGTCTTGAGTTTTGACCCGTCATAGGACTCTGCTTTTCCGTGTTGCTTGGTTATCCCTGTATCCCCTGCCCTTGCCCTTGCCCTCCACAATCTCCCTCCATCTTTTTTGTACACTTCTTCATGACCATCAGGTTAAAGCATTGTAATGAATAGCAATTTGCCACTCGTACGAAGTGCATATTTATAGCTTCTGATTGGAAACTGACATATTCCCCCCCCCTTTCCCCTCCCCACCCCCTTTTCTTCCCCCCATGGGCAGCGGATGGAGCAAGGAGGGAGAAGATGGAAGAGTGTGCAGGGGCTGCTACCAGTGCTAATGCTGCTGACGTCATGGCACAGGAGGTGCTTCGACTGGCGCTCCAGCAGCAGCAGCACAGAAAGCAAAAGGCTAAATTTGCATAGAGAATTCTGATTGACGCATTTTTTGCACAGAATGTCAAACTATATGTTTGTATTGTCTCTAGGCTATGGTGGGTTAGCTTACAAGGGGTACAATACTTCAGGGTTATTACTTGTACCCAACTCATTCATAGCTCATTCATTCCTGCACAGTTGATTCTGACATTGTATTCAGAGCAGGAAACCTGTTAGGTCTTTAGGGCCCACCGATCGTTCCACTAGTTCCAGCCCGAAGCGCCCTTGCGCTGTCCGGCCCTCTCGCACAGTGTCACGCTGCCCTGCAGCTACTCCCACTGCCCCTGCCTTAGTGTGCTGCCCTGCTGTCACACGCTGTCAGAATGAGGAATGAATGATGTCATTGATGTTGGTTGGGGTACATATAACAAACCCTAACTTCTGTACCCCCTAAGACAAACCTCACTACAGGCTACAACATTTGACACACCCCCATAGCCTAAGTGAGGGGTGTCTAGCAAAATCAAAAAAGAGTACGGTCACAAGACCAGTCCAAAAGAAAACAAAGCTCAGGGTGGATCACAACGTCACCACACACTCTGAGCACAAGCAACAGTGGCCACAAGGCCAGTCCAAGAGATCACAAGTATATATAGCAAGTGTACAGACGAAGCAGGCAATAAACTCAAGTCTACACATGACTAGAACCTGTGTCAACAAGGCCTAACTGCACACAACACCTCTGGTGGTCACAAGGCGGAAGCGCCTTGGTGAAGATGTCTGCAGTGTTGGCCTCGGACTCCACGAACTCGAAGCGAGCCTGTCCACGTCTCTGCAACTCTCGCAGAAGAAAGTATCTGACGTGAATGTGCTTCACTCTGCTCTCCAGTCGCGGCTCACGACAGAGGAGGATCGACGCCTTGTTGTCAGTAAACAAGGTCGGTGCAGAGCTCGGCCGCTCACCAAGGTCGGCGAGCAAGAAGGTCAACCACCGCAACTCCTGTGCCGCCATGGCACCAGCGTAAATCTCAGCCTCAGCTGTAGAGGTCGAGACAGAAGAGGAGCGCGTGGAACGCGAGGAAACAGCTCCAGAACCCAGACTGAAACAGTACCCCTGAGTAGACCTGTGAGTCTCAGCGTCGTCAGCGTAAGAGGAGTCACAGTGACCAGTGAGTACGACAGACTGCTGCCCTCCAAGAACTAGCCCCACGCCTGATGTAGTCGCTAGGTACTTCGCCACCCTCACAGCTGCCGTCCAGTGAACAGGATGGTGTCTCCCTGGCGCAACAAAGCGCGCAAGGATGCTGAGAGGGAAGGCGAGGTCCGGGCGAGTACAAGTCATCAGGTACATGAGGCAACCCACAAGCTCTGCGTAGGGACCACTAGGCTCAAACGGCTCGTCAGGAAAGGGACCAGTGAGTCTGTGGTCAACAGCGAGAGGTGTGCGCTGTACGGTGGAGTGCTGAAGCCCGAACCGCTGAAGGACCTGCTGCACCATGTGTGACTGTGAGAGTGTAATGGTGCGAGCGGCTCTGTCCCTGGTGATCTGCAGGCCAAGGTAGTGGCGCAGCTCACCAAGATCAGTGCACGTGTGTCTCTTCTGCAGTTCGGACTTCACGTCTGCCAAAGCAACCCTGTCCGGAGTGGCGAAAACGAGGTCGTCGACGTAGACCAGAACAAAGAACGGTGTGGAGCCACGACGAACGAACAGCGACGGGTCGGCAGAAGACGGCTGGAACCCAAGGTCAGAGAGGGTAGAACGCAGAGTGTCGTGCCACTCACGAGGGGCCTGGCCAAGACCGTAAACAGGTCGCCTCAGCCTCCACTGGGTCCCAGGAGGGAAAGTGCCAGTGAAGGCAGAGGGACGACGCAACCAGACCTCCTCGTGTAGGCTGCCCTGAAGGAAAGCAGTGGAGAAGTCGAGAGAGTGTAGCTCGTAGTCTCTCTGTGCTGCTACGTGTAGTAACACCCGAAGAGTGGTCATCTTCGGGGTAGGTGCGAAGGTCTGAAAGAAGTCAACTCCCTCGCGCTGACTGAAACCTCTAGCCACGTAGCGCGCCTTGAAGACCGGGGGAGATCCCGGTGGCCGCTTCACCCTGTAGATCCACATGCCGTCGACTACGTTCGCCCCAGGGGGGGGAACCTCATCGACGTAGGTGCCTGTGGATCTGTAGGAGGCCATCTCTGCGTCCATGGCAGCTCTCCACTGAGAGGCCCAAGGCCCTGACACTGCCTCAGCGTAAGTGCGAGGAGTCGGAATGTCAAGGGCGTCGGGGTCACCCTCAGGGGCGAGGAGCATGGCACAGAGATGAGGGGAAGCGGCCGCCAGGAACTCTAGCTCAAACTGCCTGTCCTCTAGGGCGTCACAGCCAAGGGCAGATACACCCCCGACGACCAGAGGACTGGTAGGAGGAGCAGTCACAAGCGTGGTGGCGTAGTCAAGGCGGCGGGTAGAGGCAAAGTCAGTAACCGCGGCAGTAAGAGCGGACACAGAGGACACAGAGACACGAGGGTGAGTAACAAGAGAGGCGAGAACACGAGAGAGAACAGGACAGTACGCGCGGTAGTAGTCACTGACAGGAGAAGGGAGTGACACAGTGAGGGCCGACTCAGGAGGAGACGGAAGCACAGACTGAGACGGACGAGGTGGACTAGAACAAAGTAAGGCAGTACGAAGGTCAGTGAAGGGAACAGGAGACGAGGGACGAGCACGAGGGGAGCGACGAGTAGCCCAAGAACGAGACGGAGGAGAAGAGGACAAGGGCGGAGAACTGGGGAAAACAGCGGGGGAGGAGTCAGGAGGAGGAAACGTGGGACCGTAGACAGGAGGAGAGGCGGAGGAGGGAGGAGAAGGGGAGGGGAGACCAAGGGTCCGAAGACCCGAGACAGGAGGAGGAAGTGGGTGCTGCTGCTGCGGCTGCGACTGCTGCTACTGCGGACGCGACTGCTGCTGGGACTTCTGCTCCTGCGGGTCCAGCTGCTGCTGCTGCTCCTCCAGCCGCTGTAACTCCCTCTCCTCTCTCTCCAACGCCAGCTGCTCGTCACGGGCACGGCGAACACGAGCCTGGTGCCTAGTCGGGTAGGGGTGGGGGGGTGGAGTAGTGTCCGAAGCAGCGGCAGCTCCAGAGTCCACCCCCGAAGAACTAGGCGCACCACCCCCAGAGGCAGCACTAACACCAGCTCCAGACCCAAGCGCACCAGAACCCGAAGCAGGCGCACCCTCACCCCCAGACGGAGCACCCCCAGTGGCCGCGCGACCAGCACCAGCTCTCGGACGACAAGAGTCCTCTGCACCCACCGGGACAGCTCCAACTCCAGAACCAGAAACTCCAGCCCCAACTCCAGGTCCAACTCCAGCACCCCCAGAACCAGAAACTCCAGTGCCAACTCCAGCTCCAACTCCAGCACCCCCAGAACCAGAAACCGGTACAGGAACAGGCGCAGCACCAACCTCTCGAGAGCTAGCACCAGCGGCACGCTGCGAGGAGGACTGTGGGGAGGGAGGCTGTACCGGAGGGGCTACCGAAGGAGGAGGGGTAGCCTGGGACACACCCGACGGGGCTGGACCAGGGGGGGGAGGCTGTACCGGGGGAGCAGGAGGGGGGGCTGCAGTCAGGAAGAGGGGGGGAGGAGGAACCGGGAGACCTCGACTGGGGTACCTGACGTAGTACGGAGTGGACTCCTCGAAACGGACGTCACGGGAGTCAAAGAACCGGTGAGAGGGAGGGTGGTAAAAGGTGAAGTCAGAGGAGTCCTCAGGGAAACCAAGGAAGACACAGGGGACGGCACGAGGCGAGAGCTTGTCCGCGGAGGTGTCGCAGACAAGAGCCAAGCACCCCCAGACACGAAACCGCGACGCAACACCAGGGGACCCTGTCCAAAGACTGGTCGGTGAAACCTCTGGTCGAGAGACACGTGGCCAGAGGTTCAGCTGGTGCGCGTCGTACCTGACCGCGTAGGGCCACAGAAAATGGGGGGCATAGGCGTGAGTCAGGGAGGTGCGGGCGATCTCCATGACCAGGCCTATGCGGCACTCAGCAACCCCATTCTGCTGTGGGGACTCTGGAAGCGTCCAGGACTGACAAATGCCCTGCTCGCGACAGAATCCAGCGAGAATGCCGGAGCGAAACTCACCCCCACGGTCGGAGTGGAGACAGCTGACACAACGACCACGAGTGTCCGCGGTGGTGAGCAACCACCTGATCAGCGTAGAAGTCACCTCAGACTTCTTCGCCAGAGGGAACACTGTGGTGTAGCGGGAGAAGTCGTCAACGACCACCAGAAAGTAACGCTCACGCTCGGGGCCTAGACGAGGGGCGGGGCCCCAGACGTCCAAGTGAAGCGTCTCAAAAGGCTCGGTGGCCGGACGAAGGGAGGAGGAGTGAGGGGTGGCGCGCAGCCTACCCTCGACGCAGGGACGACACGGCGACGCAAGCGAAGGCGGCAGCGACGGCAAGACACGTGGGAGGCCTAGGACAAGACGCTGACTAGACATAGCGCGCAGACGAGGAAGGGACGGGTGCCCCATCCGGTGGTGCCACAGAACGGTGGGGTGGGCAAGCGACCGGCAGGAGCACGACGCAGCGACTGGAACAGACGTAGGAACCTGACACGACACAGACACCTGGGGGGACGAAGCAGCCTGGTGAGACGCGGGGACCCGAACGGGGGGGGGAAACGGGGGCAGTGGCAGTAGGGGGGGCTGCTGGTGCGGCCGCTGGTGGTGGTGGTGCTGCTGCTGCTGCTGCGGTTGCTGATGCGGGGCACGCGGGCCAGTGTGAAGAGTGTAGAGACCCGAGCCCGGCTCAGCAGTAAAGGTAGCAAGAGGCTGGTAAGAGTCTCCGTCAACACACACCGCAGTCTCTTCAGAAGGCTCAAACCACACACCCACGTGCTGACTCACGAGGGGTCGCACGCCCACCAAGTTCTGGGAGAACGAGGGGACGTGAAACCTAGTGAGAGACCCGGAGGGAGCAGCAGGACACGGTAAAGTGGTAGTGTGACGGGCAGTGACTGGTCCCGTAGTGGGATCAGCCAACGCTACAGAA